ATCCAATGAGCAAAAACAATTAAGTATTAATTAAGTTCATTTAAAATGGACTTGATTTAAGTTTTAGCAGATATATTGCTAATTCAGTCAAAATATAGATTAATTTATATTAAAAAAATTGTGTGGCATCGTGATTTAATACTCATCCAACGAGAAAAAAATGTATAATAAATTTTCTTTAAAAAGGAAAAAAATAAAATAAAAAAAATAAGAAATTCGAAAAAAGGAAAAAAATTGAAAAACAAAAAAGGGAAAGACAAAAAATGAGAAAAGTGAGAAAAGGGGAGGAAAAGTAAATAAATGAGAAAATTAGAAAAAGGAACAAAAAAGAAAAACATAAAAGTGTAAAAAAGGCAATAAACAAAAAAACTAAACTAAAACAAACAAACAAAATATAGCTGATTGATACCTCTTGTTGTTTAGTATATTTTAGTTGTCTGTACAGTAAAAACAACCAAATCCACAAGAAAAAACTCAAACTCAAACTCAAACAATGAAAAAGTCCACTGTCACTGTAACTCCCACAGAATAAAACCCTAAAGCTCCCAAAAAGATTACATGAATATAAATCCTCAAAAGGTTGATGTTTATCCATAAAAACACGGCTGATTTGACACTTTTTTGTGCCAAAAAGCTCCCCGATTCGGCCACTTTCTGGCACACCTCAACTCGATAATAAAACAACATCATCCAGGGTATTAGGGGTGTATTCCCCCGTTAATACCCGGAGTCGGGGCTTTGATCAGGCCTCAAACGGCCCCGCGGGGGCCTCAGATCCCGGGCGGGGGGGTCCTGTCTGTGTGACAGCATCAGGACCACAGGTCCGGATTATTCCCACGTTAGCGGTGGGAATAAGCTAACGCTAACGCTAACGAACAGATGGAGCCTGGGCTGCCTGCTGAGAAGAGAGCGGGTTATTCGGTTATGTAACCAGAACAGGAGGAGAAAAGGGCCTTTTTCTGTTTAAGACTGAGATCAGATAAAGGAGGTTAAACCCCCAACAACACATGAGAAGTTTTAGAGATTCAGGAGTAAGAATTTGACTCAAAAAATGTCTTAAAAGCTCTCATCTGTTTCATCTTATATATATATTTTTAAAAAGTCTTGAGTCTTTGAAAGACTAACAACACATCAGTGGTTTTAAAGATTCAGGAGTAAGAATTTGACTTTAACAAATTATTAAAAGTTCTCATCTCAAAGGAGGTTAAGCCCTCAACAACACACCAGAGGTTTTAAAGATTCAAGAGTAAGAATTTGACTCTCAAAATGTCATTATATCTCTCATCTGTTATCTTATATATTAAAAAGTTATATATATATATTTGTCTTTGAAAGACTAAGATCGGCTAAAGGAGGTTAAGCCCTCAACAACACACCAGAGGTTTTAAGATTCAGGAGGAAGAATTTGACTCTCAAAATGTATTAAAAGCCCTCATCTGTGTCATCTTATAAATATTTTTTTCAAAAAGTTTTAGTCTTTGAAAGACTCTGGTCCTCTGGGACTCCAACCCAGAACCCTCTGGCAGAAAGCCAAAACCTGGTTATCAAACTCCTCAGCTCCCACCGATCCCAAACAAAGGCAGAAAAACTGCAGCGCGTCATGAGCTCAAAGGTCAAAGGTCAAACCCTAAAGTTTTTCTCTGGTCCTGGTTCCCCCGGGGACTCAAACCCAGAACCCTTTGGGACTAGAACCCAGAACCCTCTGGCAGAAGCCCAAACCCTGGTTATCAAACCAATCAGCTCCCACTGATCCCGACACAGAGATCAGGCAGAAAACTGCAGCGCGTCACGATGTCACAGGTCAAAGGTCGAACCCTAAACTCTCTCTCTCTCTCTCTCTCTCTCTCTCTCCCGTTTCCGTGGCGACAGGCTCCTGCTTCTGGGTGGAAAGAACCCTTTGGCAGAAGCCCAAACCCTGGTTATCAAACCACTCAGCTCCCACTGATCCCGACACAGAGATCAGGCAGAACTGCAGAGAGTCATGAGCTCACAGGTCAAAGTTCGAACCCTATACTCTCTCTCTCTCTCTCTCTCTGTCTCTCCCGTTGCCGCGGCGACAGGCTCCTGCTTCTGGGTAGCCAAAACCCTCTGGCAGAAAGCCAAACCCTGATTTTTCAACTACTCAGTTATTAAACTACTCATCTCCCACCGATCTCGACCCAGATCAGAGCGTCACGATGTCACAGTTCAAAGTCCGAACCCTAAACTCTCTCTCTCTCTCTGTCTCTCTCTCTCTCCCGTTGCCGCGGCGACAGGCTCCTGCTTCTGGGTGGCTCTGCTGGAGGGGCGCGTGGTGGGCCTGGTGGCGGCGCGGGCCCTGGAGGA